GGAAGGAAGGAAGGAAGGAAGGAAGGAAGGAAGGAAGGAAGGAAGGGAGTCTCTTTCTGTCATATATCATGTTAGAGCATGTAGGCAACCTCTGAAATGAACTGCAGTACACTTAGAGTTTCCGGTCCTACTATGCAATTCCATCTGAGCTTTGTAAATTCTATTATATAACTGTACAGTTTTCTGGTCAGTTACCATAATAATGATGTTCTGTTTTGTTCTCACCAAGTTATCACTTTTCTGCCTCCACTTTGGTTGGTCTTGGCTCTGGGACAAGACGCAATGAGCCATATTTTTAATTTCCTGTAATGAGAATCCCTTCCTTCCTGGTGCACTGTGGAGGCTAGGAGATGCCCCAGTTGCCTCTTTCAGTTACGTGTAGAGGAGGAGGAGGACGATGACGACGACGACTAACCTGCAGATCTCTTTCTAAGAGCAGTAAATGATACCTGTGCCAGGTAACAAAAGCAGGGCCTTGATGGGAGAAGTTTATTGCTGTAAAGGGACGGCCTGGTCCTGAAAGCAGATGAGAGGAACAAGATTTACAGTTTAAAAGACACTCTGAAAGATAGGTTAGATCTGCAAAGGCAGAACAAATCTATAGCCTCTGGGTCCTCTCTACCATTCCCTCTTCTGCTCTTTCTCCCTCCAATTTTTGTGCCTATTTGGTTTTTCTTTGTCTTGTAAATCTGCATAACATACTGTAGGTGTACAACTTCTAATCCCCAAAGGTTGCCTGCCTGTACACCTTCCACAGTAGCTGCCAATTTTCACAAATTAAAATTAATCTTGGTGATTTAAGATTTGACAAAAATGCTGGGGACAAGAAAATTAGTGTGAAAAAAATAGATGGGGGGGTTAAGTGTGTTTTCTTTAAACCTACCTACTTTCTGACAGGGCCACATCTACTTTTTTATTTCTTCACTTGCACAAGGCCCTTAACATATTCATCTAATTGTGAAATGTGACAACTCTGTGCATGTGCAACTGGTCAGAGAGAAAAGGGCCGAGAGGAGTAAAGCACAGGGCTATAGTTTGACAATTTGTCCATACACTCTTTTGAACCAAATCTGGAATTATAGATTTCCTTACTCTGGAATCACTGCAAGTCTTCTGTCAGTTCTCTGCATAGTTCCAGTACCCCAGAGATAACCCCTCAATTACTTATATTGGCCAATGTAATGTAGCCAGATGCTCACATCTCAAAGACTTCAGTACAGCAAGAGTATTCTAAAGAAAAACAAAGCTTGCTTTGTAGAAGCATCTGGTAAAGCTCACTGAATTCTGTTCACTAGTTATGGATTCCAGCCTGCCAGAGGTCAGATAGACTCCACGTTATTTCAGTCCAAGGCAGGGACCAAAGAAAGGAAGCTTGGAAGATCTGGTGGATGGACATTCCTAGTGAGATTCAGCTTAGGGGAATCACAGTTGTGCAAGAAAATGCACAGCAAAAAAAAAGAGACACAATCACATTTGTCAACTTTTTAAACCCGCCCCCTGCTTCTGTGCCTTTAGTTGCAGCTTGATTTGAAGAAATCAGCATGTGGGAAAATCTTCATTTTGTTCTCTATAGATCAAATTGCTGTTAAATTATAATTTCAAATCTATTGGGTTCTGCAAAAGCTATTTCTCTTGTTCCCAAAACAGGAGAAGGTGAGAACAGATTAACCATATAATGCAGCACAGATAGAAACCTTTGACCATTCAGATGCAACTGGACTCAAGTAACATGGCCAATAGTTGGGGGTGATGGGAGTTGTATTCCAACATCTAGAAGAGCTTTTCCTAGTCTGGTTCCTCAAGTTGTATTGGTATTACAACTTCCAAATTTCCTAGTAAGAACAATCTGAAGATCCCCATATTGGAGAAAGCTGATCTAAAGGGCCATTGGTTCCCTAACATTGTAATATGGAACCAAATAAATTGCATCCATATTACCTACAATACTCTTTTCACCTATTTAACCCCTCACCAAACTGGAAAGCACCAACCTAATAGAGTATCTCTGACTGAATAATAATGAAGCCACACATAGTAGTTATAAATGCTGCAATTTGCAACTTGTGGGTCATTTCTGCTGGGACCAAGCAGACTCAGCCAGTGCTGGGTTGCAATCATATAGTCAGGATGGATAGTAGCCTTGGCAAGGTTGAGGACATCTAAAAACTGCTCCCGCTCTTCATCTGTCAAAGAATGGATGTTCTTCCGGACAATGAGAGGCTTCTTTTCATCACAGTTGGACCCTGACCAGCCAAATTTGCAGTCTCCACAGTTATAGCCAGCAAAATGTCCTAGAGAAAAAGAGAGCATCATTTATACTACTGCTGGATATGAATAAGAACACTAAAAAAAGAACACATATGTCATAAAACACATGTAATTACAACATGTGACTACAAAGCTAGACGCTACCCTGTGGGAAGAAGTCAAGCTCACATTATAATATAGCTGATATTCTTCTTGACTTGACTGATAACACTTTCTAAGAACACAATACAGCTTGGGACATAGTCAGGCCTGGTTGTCCACAAGCTCAAAAGTATATCTGGGCTCTTTGGGAACTGAGTTCTTCTATCCCAGATGACTGAAAAAATGGTAAAACAGTAAAACTTTGGACTTTTTTTTTTAAAAAAAAGAAGAGGGAGAAAACTAGGTACTCCAGAAAAATTGTATTTGTTTAAAAAAGGCCAAAAACATTTCTACTGGGTTTTACACCAGCAAGCTTCTCTGTGCTAAGCAAAGATCTTAACCGCTGTGCTATTTCCTTAGTGCTGGTAAGGGAAAGTATATTGGAGTGCATGATGGAAAATAGGAGAAAACACTAAGCTGCTTGTTGAGTCTGCACATATCTGCATGTTGATGCTTTAATCTTGTAAATATAAATTTAACTTGTGTGGGTGTGTGTGTATATATAAACACATATACACATGTATGTATGTATATAGGATCTATTCACAGAAAGGAAAGTGATTGGCCATTACTTTCCAGGAGAGAAAGGTGGGAGGGCACAGAAGCAAGGGAATTGTCCAAGGGATGACGTGGAAGCCTACAGTCCAGACTGAGTATTTTGCAAGCTGTTGCCAATGTTTCAGTCCAGCCAGGATTTTCCTAAGCCCTGTTAGAGCCAAGCCAGCAGGAACACAGGACAGGAACATCTTAAATGTGGTGTATATTCCCATTATCCAGAAACATTGGGGCTGTAAGCCTCAGAATTCCCAGCACGGGGAATTCTGACCTTGTTCACATATAATTCTTATTAGTTTTTCTGGCATTAGCTATGTTAGCAAACTGATCCATAAAGACATAGTAAAGAGGAATAGAAGAGTTTGATAAAGTGCTGCAACATTGATGGCCTTTCCGTTGTTCTTTTGATTACCTCTATGAGAACCCTCTTCCATGAAATCTACTTTCAGAAAAAGAAATGGCCCTGGGAAGAAGAATCCCATTAGTGCTTCACAGCCTGCATGCCTGGGAACTTACTGCATTCAGAAACAATGTATTATGGAATTAGCTGTCTAACAGCAATAATGACTGGTAATTGCTTGTAATTGCATCCATGACCTCTATTCTAAACCAGCCGACTTACTACAATACATTCAAACAATAATCATTTACAAGAAGTATTAACAGAAGAAAACAAGAATAGGTCAGACTTTCTGATTTAATTACCCCTGATTTACAAAACGGAAGACTTAAGTGGTAGAAGGTCCACAATGTACAATAATGCAGTTCAAGACTTCCATATACACACTGCCTTTAGCATGGAATTAATGGCAACAACTAGGGTTGTAAGCATATAAAACACTGTTCATGTTTGCTCATGATTGCAGTTAAGGAAGTCTACACTAGATGTGTACAACCTGTGGGACATTAAACTCAAGACCCTTACTGCTGCAGTTCTGGTAATTCACAGCTCCAAGCTTCAAGCAAAAAACAGGTTTACAGTCTCCCCTTACTGGGACACTATATTTGACTGCTAGGCCACGAAAGGGGTGGGTGTGGTTTAAAACAAGGGTGGGCCATGTTCCTCTAAATATTGTTGGATTGCAGTTCCCATAATCCTTCAAGGTTGGCCATGATGAGTGATGGTGTTGGAGCCCAACAATATTTGGAGGGGGGCATATGATGCTCCCAAATGGAGAAAAGCATCTCCCTGTGTTGAAAGAAAGATACATGGCCAGGAAAATACCTGTGCCCCTCTTTTGCCCCTCCTTTTTGGTAAAGTTCTTGTGTGAGTTTGTGAGGACTCTGGGAAAGGAATGGAAAGGATAGCAGACATTAACAATTAAGAGACAGTGCATAATGAAATACGATACAGAGACAGAACAAATAAAAAATTACATGCTAAAATGAATGCAAAATTTTAAAGAAGCAATTACAGTGGACCAATGAGAAGAGTTATGAGAAAAAGTCAATAAAATTTACTCCAATTATAATTCAAAGGAAAATTGGTATAAAATGTTTTACAGATGGAACATAACTCTGTCAACGATTGCCAAAATAGATAAGACATATAATCACAAATGTTGGAAATGCCGCAACAAAGACTCTATCACATATGGTAGTTATGTAAAGAAGCTCAAAAGTACTAGAAAGAATTATATCAAAATATTCCAAAAAATCTTAAAAATGAAATTTGAACTGAAATCCAGATATTTTTTACTAGACATAATTCCAGAAAGCATAAATGAAAAATTCCATAATTTACTAAGATATATGTTGACAGCTGCAAGAACAAACTTGGCACAATGCTGGAAAAGCGAAACCTTGCTGACAGTATTAGAGTGGGAGACTAAAATTGGAAAATATGCTGCAGTGGCAAAATTGACAGTACATATCATAATATTTAGACATTTGGAATATGTTTTCAAGGGCTTAAACAGAAACCAGCAACAATCTTTAATGTTTAATATAAAGAGCAGATATCTAATTTGCAGTTAGTGTTTAGGGACACAAACAGAAGTGAAGGGGAGGATATGTTATTAGAAAAGCTTTTCACAATGCTTTTAATTCGTATTTAGTAAGTTATCATTTCGTTTTCTCTAATTCTTTTTCTTATTCTCTTCTGCATTTCATTTTTTTAACAATAAAATAGGAAATAGGAAAAAAATAGAGATTGGGCGAGTCAGTTGACAGCTTATCTCATAAATGACAACTTAGCCCAGATAGAAAGAAGCATCAGGGATGCCTCTCGAATGAGCTCACTATACAGTAAATGAGGCTGGGAAATTCCTCTTCCAGTTTCTAAGATCCTGTATTTAGTGCAGTTGAGCATTAAAGATATCTCCCTGTGTGGTTCTTGCTTCTTTGATCTGGCCCACGTGGCAGAAAGCAGCTGTAT